AGCATAATAAAGGCGAGGGGTGGAAGAGCAGCCCGGACATGGCCAAGACGACTTATTCAGGTGTATTCTATCCTTAAACTTCGTGTTAATTACATTGAGGGCAATGTAAATTTTAAGTTTGGGGGGTGGAAAATTACTTGTTTTTATGTGCTTTAATTTTTTAGTTTGCATGCCTTAAGTTTTTTTTTATTTGAGTTATTTTATTTTAGTTATTTCTTTCGAAAAAATAAAAAAAATAAAAAAAAAATTGCTTGAGATAAATGCTTCGATGAATCATGATGATGAAAGATGGTCGATGTTTAATGATGAAATTGCTTGTTTTATCTTGATTTTGATCGAATTTTGGTGAGCTTTTGATTCAAAGTGTCGTAAGAAGGAGTCATTGTTAGGAATCTCGAATTATGCGTTGCTTTGGTTGAAAGTTTTGTGTTTTAAAATTTGAGTTAATTTATGTTATATCATATGCTATTCGGTTTTAGAACTTGTCTTATGAATTTACAAAGTGAAATATTAAATTGTTGAGCAATTTGGGAAGTGATTTGGGCCATCTTTGAACCGTTTGAGCCTTTCAAGCCTACCTTTATTTTTTTATCATTCGAACCTTGATTGAGCCTTGGAGAAACGGTGTTCTTTCTTTTAACCAATGTGTATAAGGTAGAATAAGTGGAGATTTTTGAAAAATTAACCCTTGGAGTTCGGTCGAAAAAATTTTATAAGGTCCTTCTTCTTCTTCGAAAAGAATAAAATAAAATAAAAAAAAAATATATATATATATATATATATATATATATATATAATAATAATAAAAAAAAATTAAAAAAAAAAAAGAGAGAGAAAGAGAAAGAAGAAGAAGAGACTAGAAGGGGAAGTAAGGACTAGTTGTTGAATTGTTTTGAAAGCTCGATCCATTGTCTTAAGAGCAAAAGTGGAGACTTTTGAACTCTTCAGAATCGAGTTTATTAAAGTCCTTAGAGGTGAATTCATTGTTTCAAACGCCTATCTTTCAAAATTTGGCGTAATCACCTCAATTCAAGAAGCATAGCCACATATACCCATATTTCCTACCTCGAACCAAAAAGCCCAACATTTGAAAGCCAAAAAGTCCCAATGATCCCAATAGCTCAATTATTTGATACTAGTCGAGTAGAGAAATTTGGTGAGTCTTTGGAGTTGAATACTATTATGTAAGTATAAATTTTCTCCATTTTTAATTTGTAAATATGGGATACTTGAAGCGATAGCATGGTTTGTGGTTTTTAGCAATGGTGAGTGAATACGTATCTTTGAATTACGAGCTTTTAATTTTTTGAGAATTGTCATGATAATTGCAAGTTCTGAAAAAATGAAAGTTGACCATTAATCTATGTGATGAGAGGCATTTGTTGAGAGTGTTGCTGTGAAAGTTGCTAGTTTTTGCTTGAGGACAAACAAAAGATCAAGTTTGGGGGTGTGTTAAGTATATATTTTTATACTTTATCGTACCTTTTTATTTGAGCTTTTGGTGTGATTTAATGATAATTGGTGGTTAAAAAGTTGATTTATTGTATTTTAGGTATAAATTGAAGAATTGGAAAAGTTTGAGGTCAAAACTGCAAATTTGGAGAAAATATGGGCCAAAAGTGAAATAATCAAAAATATGCTGAAATTGGCTGAAAACAGGCCCGCACGGCCGTGCCAAAATTAGCCTATTTTTGGCCCGGCCGTGCCAAATGCTGAATTTGGGCAGAAGGTTCGGCGATTCTCGCGCGGCCGTGCGAGAATTGCACTGATTTTCGCGCGGCCGTGCCAAATCACGTTGGAGGCAATTTTGGACTTTTAAACACACAAGGAAACCTAGAATCATCTACCAAGTTGGGACATCTATTTAAGCCCAAACCAAGCACGAATCACAGGGGACTTTTGGACACAACCTTGGAGCGAGAGGAGCGAGAGAACGAAGAATCGAAGACGGAGAATCGACAACTCTTCATCACAATTCTTCTTTTATCTATCTTTTCTTAATCTATTCTTTTTATGTTTTTATTATGTTTTTCGTAGAGAACATGCGTAGCTAAGTTTTTAATCTAGGATTTTGTTGGAACCCTATGTAGGGATTGCGAACCCTTTTTCTTGAGATTATGCAATTATGATTTTATGATTATTTCTTCTACTTGTTATGATTGTTAGTGCATGAACTTGATCAATTTATGTGCTTTATCTGTGATTATTGGGATTGACTCGACAGAGCTATTTTGATAATTAGACGGTAAGTAGAAGAGCCTTCGAGTAGTTTTCACCGGATGAGTGTGTCAATTGCATGTGGTGTCGTAGACATACAGATATCACCTTAGGTAGCCATTTACGAGACTTGTTAGTTAATGCTTTATTTATAATTGGTTTGCATAGACATATAGTGAATCGTTTATGAATAATAGACTCATAATACACGCGACAGCGGGTTATGAGTAAATTTGTGTCTCGGGTTAATAATCATAAATCATATATTTCATAATTGAGGGGTTTTGGGTGAGCAATTCTTGCATAGGGGGAAGATAAAATCCTAGGTCCGTTTTATATTGATATTTTCTCGTGATTCTTTGCTTTCTTAATTAGTTTAATTGTTTAATTGATTTAACTCGACAAACTTGCGTAGGCTGGATAAAAATCATAGTTGTTAGAATTTGGTACTTAGGATTAGATAATTTACGTATTCCCTGTGGGATCGACATCCGACTCTCACGAGTCCACTTTTACTACTTGTTTGCGATACGTGCACTTGCGTGTTAGATATTTAGCACCCAACAGCTATAGTTTTGTATCTTCTAGTGATGATTATATTAAATTACTATGTATCATTGAGATTATTTATGTTAGACATAAACTTAATTTTTATTTATTTTGAATTATATAATTGAGTAGTATGATTGAAAGAGTTCTTTTTGTCTACAGCTTCTGAAATTCGCCTCATTAACATTTTTTTAATTTTATATATATTATATTTACATTTATATTATTCTAGTAGTTACTGTTTATCTTGTTCACATAGTTGTAACTCTCATTGTCCATTTTTTACTGTCTTTATTTTCTTATACTTGAAGATATTCTCAATTGATACATAAAATTTTAATTGAAAATTAATTCATTTGATTTTACCTTTTAAGTATTGATCTGCAATTAACTTTACTTGAGTGACTCATTCACATTGCAAATGAAAAATCACAATTGAGTGACAATCGAGAATTGTCGATTAATTAATCGTTCAACGACAATTCAATTTAAAGAAGAGAAAAAATGCTTTAACTGGCTATTAACAATTAAGGATCAGAATTTTCCTAACTCTTGAACCGTAGGTTGGAAACCAAATGAGCATACGCACTCGTGCCCAAGTATGAGTATGGATACATTCAAACGTTAAGAGAAAAAATCCCCACCCAGATTTTTCTCTGCCGAAACAACTATCAGAAGACATGTCTTAATGTCACGTTGTAAGATATGTATGTATATATGTATGTAAGTATGTACATATATTACATAACAAATGGACAATAAATTTACTCAAATTAGAATGTGAATAGGTTAACTCAGCAAAGAAGTATAAAACGCATATCCAATATGTGAGTGTCATATGTTCCACCATTTACGTTTTTCCATGGCCTTGGCAAGCTCAGTTGCCATCGAGGCATAGTTCTCAGCACCATTTTGCAGCTCTTCAGTCCGTAGGCTGAGTTTCTGAAACACATACACACATTTATAATAATACTAAATGACAGTTGCAGATGACTAAGGCAACTGTTTCTGGGATAAGTTGTCTTATTTAATACAAAAGGAGCAGTTTCATGCATACATAAATCAATGTAGTTAAGTGGGATTACCTCGAGTTTCTCCTTGCGTTCCATAAGTTTTTCCTTTGCTTGTGATGCTGCACCAGCCGCATCCTAAGAACCAAAAGCACAATCAGGCAATGCGATTCCCAGTTAAGGTTTAAGCCATATGTCAAAGGAATGAAATTACCCCTGTTTTCCTGTACTTTGCAATGATTTCCTCACGAGTACGAGCTGTCGGTTTAGTATCAACGGTACCACCTTCGAATAATTTTTCCCTCTGAGTTCCCTTTCCTGGATAAGCATGAAAAAATTTTAAGGCTCGCTTAGGCATAGAACCACTCAGTGTAAATAAATATGTTACGCCTTACCCTTTATGTCGTCACTAATCGTTTGAGAAGATGATACAAAGGGAACAGGATCATCGATGTCAATGTCAATGTCATCTGCAAATAGTATTAAAAGTTTTTACGAGCATAAGTCCTTTAATTCTTTTCTTTGTTTTTTGTTGATCTAGAATCAAGAAGCCGATATGCTTTAGGATTGACATTGTTGACTGGACTCACCTATTTGAAGTACCAAATCTTCAAGATCATTTAAGTTGTAGGGGTCGGAGAAAGGAAACCTTGAATATATTCTTTCTAAATGTGCAGTCACACTTTCACGAGCTTCTATACCAGCCTCTTCTTTAACCCCTTTCAATCCCTTTATCACATTACTAACAAATCCAGGCACACCACTCTGCCAATGGAAACAAATAAATCTTCAGTAGTTGAACAAAACGAGAAACGGAAAACTGGGATATCTTTTTTTTAATTATTAATACCTGTTCCTTCTTTTGGTTCTGGGAGAAATTAACATCGGCATCTGCAGCAGCAGCAAGTACTTGATCATGTAGGGAAGGTAAAGTCTCGGGAATCCTAAAACAACATAATACATTCTTGTCAGGATTTCCATCGGTTGGGGGGGGGGGGGGGGAG